AAAAAAAAACTGTAAATGTATACTAAAATCTGGTCATTCATTCTTAAATCCCTAAGCAGTCAGTTCTGAAAAATAAATGTAACATCTGTAACATCTACCCAATCCCCCACATTGACATGCTCCATTCCAGTTTTTACTCATGGCTTTGATTTGTCGTTAATTTTGTGAAAATATATAGTAAAGATGTGCACATGTCTATGTACTAACCCAGATTCCTTGGTTTGACAGCTCCATTGGTTTAATACATACTTATTTCTACAGGTATATATCACATCCACTTATTTCTAAATATATGCCCATATACACATGCTTTTATTTATACTGTATATGCAACTAACACCTTCAAGGAAACCGGTTTTCACCATTTTGTGTATTTTCTATCTCTTCCAAATTCTTAATTAATGGAAAAACTCACAGCACCAAGATATATAACCTTCTCAGGTAGTTCAACTGGACAGCCAATAGACTCCCAAGGATTCCCTGAGCCATCCCCAGGTATTTGAAATGGTGAGAGCACCTTGAATCCAGCTGAGCATGCAGTAACCGACTGTGACTTTGCTGAGTACTTCTTTAAGGATATTAGGGCAGAAACATTTTTCCCCACCTCAGCTAATCTTCCCCCTTTGTCCAAACCACTTGTTAGTTTCAAAGGACCTTTGGTAAGTTAGAAGGTGGGGCAATAGAGCCCTATCTCTATCAGGGATCTGCAGCTCAAACAAGCTGGGATCTTCAGAGATAATGAGAGAACTCATTAGGGATAATGATAAACACTGGCAAATTCACAGGGTACATTTTTCTGTTCTCCTGAATTTGACTTTTAATAATTTCCACATAAGGGATGGAGGCTCACACCTTCTTAGTTACTCTGAAGGCTGAGATTTGAGAATCACAATTCAAAGCTAGCCTGGGCAGAAAAAATTCCTGAGATTCTTATCTCTAATTAACCACCAAAAAGCTAGAAGTAGAGCTGTGGCAAAAAAAAAAAAAAAGCTAAGGAACAGTACCTTCTAGAAGTAGAGCTGTGGCAAAAAAGCTAAGGAACAGTACCAAAGCCCAGTGCTGGCACCAAAAAAAAAAAAAGGTATTTCCAAGTAAGAGATCCTTGATTACTGTGTGTGAGGAGTGTGCATGCCCACGCAGGTACTGGAGTTGGAACTGGGACCCCTGTATGCTTGCTTGGTAATTATTTCCCTCAAGGCAGGTTTTCTTCCACTGGAACCACACCTCCACCCCCAGCCAATTGCTGGTAAATTAGAGATGAGTCTCAGATCTCAGCATCAGGAGAGGCTTGGTTATTGGTACCTGGCTATAGTCTATCTTTGCCAGAGGTAGAGGGAAAATCTGTACAGTTAGAGAAAAGCTGCTCATTTCTGAGACTTAAAATGGTTTCATTTGTTTAAGGACAACTTATACGATGGATTCCTATGGGTAAGAAACTCAAGGCTGGAAAACTTTCAAAATATAATCCCTTCAGAAGTTGGGTTTATTATGTTTACAAAAAAGGGGGGGCATAATCTTCAAAATTAACATCAAGCCAGGCATTGGTGGCTCATGCTACTCAGGAGGCTGAGATCTGAGGATCGCTGTTCAAACCTACCCAGGGCAGGAAAGTCCATGAGACTATAATCTCCAATAAACCACTAGAAAACTGGAAATGGTGCTGTGGCTTAAGCCGTAGAACACTCATTTTGAGCTGAAGAGCACAGGGACAGCGCCCAAGCCCAGAGTTCAAGCCCCACCACTGACAACAACAACAAAAACATCCAATACTATTGCCCACATTACATAGTATTTTTCCTTTCCTGCTTTTCATGCCCATCCAGTTTCAAGATGAAAATTTATTAAATCATTAATCATTAATAGGATAGGCTATTACTGGTAAACCTTTGTTGAGAATGTTATAATTTTTCTGCTACTGCAAGAAAAAGATTTGTTTTCACTGATAAGTTTAGTGTATATAACTCAATAATAGGGTGATTCAAACCACTATAAAGCTTCCTTAATACTAGTGGCTCACATCTGTAACCAGCAGGCTGAGATCCTTACTGGAAGTAAAGCTACCCCAGACAGAAAAAAAGTCTGAGAGCCTCTTTATCTTCAACTAACCACAAAAAGCCAGAAATGGAGCTATGGCTCAAATGGTAGAGTGCTAGCCTTGAGCAAAAAGAGCTCAGAGACAAGAGTCCAGGCCGTGAGTTCAAGCCCGAGGACCAGCACAAAAAAAATTTTTAAATACAAATGCTTTTCTTCCCTCTCTGGAAGTCATGGGTTCTCCCAGGAGGATGTCTAGAGTGGAGCAGTTCTCCATGAGTCTGTAAAAAGTGTTCACAGAGAAGCAGTGGGCAATGCTGACTCTTCCTGGGCTTCCCTGATAGTATGAACCCTGATCTACAGCCAAACACCAGCCTGAATAAGAACTCCAGGCTGCACCATTCCACACTTGGGCTCTTGCTTAACATCTGAAGAAACCACCTTATTTAAAACTAGCCTTCCTCACACTCTGCTTTCAGAAAATTCAAATGGGAAAGAATTATCAAAAGGCTTTTTTTTCTTTTTTGGGGGTCGTAGGGCTTGAACTCTGGGCTTGAGTGCTGTCCTTGCACTCTTCAGCTCAAGGCAAGCGCTCTACTGCTTGAGCCACAGCACCATTTCCAGTTTTCTAGTAGTTTATTGGAAAGAGTCTCACGGACTTTCCTGTCCAGGCTGGCTTTGAACCATGATTCTCAGATCTCAGCCTCCTGAGTAGCTAGGATTGCAGGTGTGAGCGACCAGGGCCAGGCTAAGGTGTTGTTTTTGTTTTCGTTTTTTATGTTATTCAACCATCCATTTTATCCTTAAAATACTGAAAAGCTCAATCTTAATCAGTTAAAGCAAAAAGCAAACACATACACATACATAGACACACACACACCCCACACAAAACATACTTAGTAAGCAGGGACATCTCCCAAAGCACCTCCTTTTAAGGTACGGTATTTTAATTAAAGAACTTAGCACATTCTATCTGCTAAGCAGGAATTAAAAGAAGCCAACATAGTTATTGATTTCTTCACTTTACCCTGTTCCCACAAATAAGTATCTCTTGAAATATAATGTATGCAAATGTCTTTCCCTGAAGACCACACAGGGCATGGGTTTCCGCATATGTAATCACTCTGAATGTGGCCATCTCACCTCCTTTTAACTTCTGGGGTCACCAAGAAACATAAAAGCATTTCAAAGAAACTCTGCCAAGAAAGTCACCTCCCAAACAGACTACAGCTTATGCTGCTCTGAGCAAGAACTAGAAAGGCTGGGCCAACCTGTCAACACAGAACCAAGTTAAGATTACAAGCACTGTCTTTCATCTTGTGCACATGGCACAGGCGGCTCGAGCTCACACACTCACATTCACACACACACAAATTTGGGTTATCTTTAACCTTTCAATGGCAAGCTTCCCAATCACTTGAAAGCATCAAAGGGCAATAATTAACAAACATTTCCTTTCATACAGAAAAAATCTACAGCAAGCTGTGGCAAAGCTGAGGTAACCAAGTATCTGTGGGTTACAGTGTATTCCCTTTTAAAGTTTCATGGCATTGTGCCTTAGACATCAGGCCTATCATTAAAAAAAAATGTTTAGCTGGTGCTTCTGTTCTTTCATTTAATTTTATAGATTTAGAATACATGGCTTTTACATTGACACAACATCTTCTCTTCCCCAGTGGCATTTTATACACACATACACACACACACACACACACACACAGATAAAACAAAGCTGGGAAGAATTAGTTGGTGCAAAATGAGAAATCAAATCCTTGCCTGGCTCAGGTGCTTGCTATTATAAACTATGACTAAGAGACATGAATTTCTCTATGATGCAACTCTCAAGAGAGGCAGCATTTTCTCCAGACCTCTCTTAAACCTGCTCATTCGTCAGTGACTAATGCTCTCTAGAGCAGTACTGTGCTGCTCAAATTTCATCAGCCAGCTTTGTCCTTGATAGCTCTGCCTGGACCATAAAAGCTCTAAAGCCTGTTGAGGACAGCCCCAAAAAAATCAGGGCAGAGCTAACTATGCCTTTGTCAGCACCACGGGCTACTTTTGGAACTCCTCATGGCATTTCATTATCTCAGGTAATGAGCACTTAATGAACATTTTAAGCAGAAGGTTCTACTCTACTCTGAACAGTAAAGTCATAGCAACTACATAAAAAAAAAAAAAAACAAGAGCATCAGGTCACACTGTACCCACTCTCCCTTTGTTAGCTTGTAAGAAACAAAATTGAAAGTGGAGCTATGGCTCAAATGGTAGAGCACTAGCCTTGTCAAGGACATTGCCCAGGCTCTGAGTTCAAGCACCAAGGCCAGGGAAAAAAGAAAAAGAAAAAGGAACAAAATTGACATATTGGGTATAACCACAATTAAGTGGAATTTTCTATTAACTATCTTCTGGAAAACGTCAGATTTATCGTTTACATCAAAGACCAACCTCCAAAATCATGGTAGGCATCAAACCCAAGCCCTTGTGCATGCTAAGCCAGAGCTCTAACACTGAACTACATCCCCAGCCCAAAGGCTTAACTTATCAAAAATAAAGAAAAAAGGCTAAGAAAATGAATGAATAATACGTAAGATATTTGCTCCAACATCATATATATATATATATATACGTATATATATATATGTATACACACACACACACACACACACACACACACACACACACATATAGCTTTATAATTTCAAGCTTCAAGCTTGGTAATATTTTCAAGTAAAAAGAAATTTAACCTGTAATTACATTCAGTAAATCTTATCTATAGAGGTACGTTAGAAATAATTTCAATAAGGAACAAAAGTTTTCAGGATTCATACTGAATTATTGAAGTAAATTACATGTATATCACTGTCCAAATCTGTTGGCTATCACTGAAGGGTATCCGAGACACAATTAAGTGGAATTTTTATCCAAGGCCAACTTAAGAACAAGTATATCACCATTAGAAAGGTACTTACAGTTATCAGACTGAAAATCTGGGACAAACTGTTCATCATCAGGAACTTGTGCTGGAAAAAAGAGATTGTTTTTTTAACTTTAGACCTTTAAGTTTTATTACAAAGCACAGTAAAAATGTTTTATATGGAAAATGGGATAGTCAAGAAACTTGCCTTCAGCTAACCAAGCCTCTTGAAGTTGACTGAGATCTTGAAACAATTCTGGAATTAAAAACAAAAACCCAAGAATGAGGAGATATGGTTCTGCTAGGGAAAAGAGAAGTCTAGAAGCTGCTAGGAGGGGAAAGCTTCCCTACCTTCAGAATCATGAGCCAGATCTGTGTCCAAAAACTTCCTCTTCCTGTCACTCACAGGTCGCCCTCGACATTCCTCTGATCGAGATTTCTGAAAGAGGCCAACAGACATAAAGACTCAAGTGTGGTAAAGAGGCCCAAAGGAAGGGGGACCCACTAACCAGTAAGGAGAAGACTCAAACTATAGAGAGAAGACAAAAAAAAATTCAAAAGTCACAGAAACTTACCCCTGGGACCATAAAAGGGACTTGCTGATCATAAAACCCATCCATGGTGCTTTCAACGTCTCTTCTATCACTTTGAAAGGTTTCAGCATTGAGCAATTTCTGAGGGAAGAGAGATCCTCCTGCAATATGAATTTGGGAGATTTCAACTGAGTGGGGCTGAGAGGGAAATGAAGTGATTTTTGTACTGGTCACTCTTTAGGACCTACACATAACATCACTATCTTGGTGTAAAATAAAACCCACTCTTAAGTAAACATTTAATAAGCTTTCAGATCAACATTTGGCTTGATTAACGGTATCAAAGATTCAAATGTACTCAGGGTCAAGTTCATTCACTCATCATTTTTTTTCTTTTTTCTTATCATTAAGATTGGTACTTATCATTTTCTTATCATTATGATATTGGTACTGCATGTCTACTACAAAAGAACAGCGCTCTCTCTCACGCACGCGCATGCACACACACACACACACACACACACACACACACAAACCCACAACTTATTTTCATAATAAAAAGGTGATGTCCAGCCAGCCTCCACAAAGCCTGTAATCCTAGCTACTCAGGAGGCTGAGATCTGAGGATCAGTTCAAAGCCAGCCCAAGTAGACAAATCCTTGAGATTCTATCTCCAATTAACCAGTAAAAAGCCAGAAGTGGAGGTGTGGCTCAAGCAGATGAGTGCCGGCCTTGAATGAAAATACTAACAAGTATACAAGGTTCAAGCCTCATTACTGGGGGCGGCTGGAGAAACACACAAGTGATTTCTAGTTCTTGGTACAGAAGATTTTCCAGGGCATCTTTAGTAGAGTTTTTGTAAAAAGGAGTTTAACTTTGACAGTGCAGTGACAGAAAGTAGAGAAACTGGGTTTAAGTATTCCAAGTTATTGGAAATTAAGAATATGACATAGGCCGGCACCCATGGCTTAAGGCTGCAATCCTAGCTACTCAGGAGGCTGAGATCTGAGAATCGTAGTTCAAAGCCAGCCCGGGCAGGAAAGTCCCTGAGACTCTTATCTCCAATAAACCACTAAAAAACCAGAAGTGGCGCTATGGCTTGAGTGCTCACCTTGAGCTGAAGAGCTGAGACAGCGCCCAAGCCCAGGGTTCAAGCCCCCACGACTGACACAAATAAATATATATATATATATATGACATATATTGTTTCTAAGAGTATTTTTAGGTCAGTGGTTAAAATTGTGTATGGTGCCAGAAAAAAATGGCTCAGTATACTTTCATCACACATACCTCTTTATTAAAATCCTATATCTTCTGACCAAACAGGTGTGTATGTCTATAATGTCACAAATATATCCATGGCAACTAGAGATATCTATGATATCCTCAACTTTCAAAAAGAGTATCTATGAAAAACAGCGAGTAAAGAAAACTAAATTCTGCTGCACATATCTTAAATGCAACTTTACCAAAGACTTTCATTAAAAAGCATTAAAAGCAAAAGATTCATGGAAAGAAACTCAGTTTGTTTTTTCACAGTTAAATCAAACTTCCCAGACATAACTCCCCAAAGAAACATATATATCTATATACTCATTTCAACACTGGTAAGTGTCCTGGTTGAAATCACAAGTGAGAAGAGAGTTTTTATTTGGGGAGAAATTAAGTAAACATTTTAGGAATGTACCACCTTCCTAAATACTTTTAATCTCCAAATGAAAACAAATAAGGCTAACAAAATGGAGAGTCTTACTCTCACCCCAGCTCTTAACATTACAAAATGCCTAAAGGATAATTTCTTTCACTTTGATACACACTTTAAACAGGGAACTTTTTCTTCCAGTGGACATTTCCATCCAATTTGCTTTTCACAGTGTGAAACATATCCAATTTTCATAAGCGAGCAGGATATAAGAAAACATTTCACTCTGTCTCTTGGCCCAAGTAATCAGATATTTTCAAAGTCAAAGGCGAGTGGAGCAAAATAGCACAGTTCATAACTTCCTAGAAAAACACTCCTGCCAGCCTGAATGCCTTCCAAATAGTGCAAAAATGGTCGGAATAAAACTTCTCACAAAAATGTCACCCGACACGCACACAGAATCTCAGAAACCTTAGCACTGGGTGAAAGGGGGTTGATTGTCTATCAAAAAAAAAAAAAGATTAAATCGTCGTCTCAGACCCGAGGGTGAGCTATGTTCAGGCTCACGAGGACGTATTTCACCCCCGAAGAGCAAAAACACCATCCCAAAAATGTAATAAAAGAAACTGCCGTAAGCGGATTCAAAAGCAGCTCCGGTGATCTTTGAAGGCAGCTCTGAGCATAAGGGCTGGAAACAGTGTGTTCAAAGTATTTACTTAAAGCCTAAAGGGAAGCCTCCGAGTTCAGCCAGGAGTTTAAACCACTTCCTTTGTGCTCCCCCCCGCCCCCCCCCAGTTTCCCGGGTGCCCCCAGGAAAAACTTTAACACGCCGCCGCGCCGCGGTGGAAGCCCCTCCCCTGTGGCGCGCAGCGGGCCTGGTTTTATGAATGGGAGAGCGAGCCGCGGCCGCCACCTCAGGTAGAGGCTGTAACTGGATCCCTCGCGCAGGGCCCCATTCACAAAACAAGACACACTTCCACCCAATTCCCAGCCTTCCCCATTCATGAAAACTCCTTCAGCTGCGCCCCGCCCCCACCGCACGCCCAGCCTCCGAGCAGGCCCCTCACCCAGCGTTTTTTAGGAGCAAGCTCAATGCTTCATTCACAAAAAAGGGAGAAGGCGGGGAGGGGGGGGAGTGAGCGGGGAGGGGGGGAGGGGGAGAGGATAGAAAAAAAGCCGCAGGGAGCTGCGAGCCAACCAAAGAAACCCGCTTCATTCATAAAAGTCATCCACATTCATAAAAACGAGGTGCGGCGCCAGGCGCGGCCAACCACTTCCAATTCCCCCCCCCATCCTGCCTGAACATCTTTCTGACACCACCACCCCCCCTCCTCCTCCTTGATCGGGAGCCCGGGCCCCACCCCCACCCACCCCCACCCCTGGAAACGCAGCCAGATCCTGAATCTGGCGACGGAGCGGCTCGGCATCCATCCGTCCAGCTCCACGCCCCGTTTTCGTCCCCCAACCATCCCCAGGCCGCGGTGGTAACGCTCCCCGTTTTCTCTCCAGAGTCGCCGCCCGCTGCCCTCAGCCTGCTGGGGGTGGGAACGAGGGACTGGATGTCCACTTTCCCCAACTGGAAACTTGCAAGACCTGAGTTAAGTTCCTGGCCGACCCTCCGCCCTGAGGCTGCACAGGCTAGCATCGTTCACCTCTCCTGATGGTGGGGGGGGAGGGTGCAGCACCTAGCAAGTACTCCCCCCCTTCGACCTGCTTCCCGCCCCCTCCTCCCAACTGCAAAGCTCCGCCGTGCGTCTCTTCTCGCGAGCCTCCCAAGTCCCTCCGGGGTTCTCGGATCTCCAGAGACTAATAAAGCCCCACAACTCCGCTCCCCCCCATCTCCACCCCGGAGCCCCGCACCCCCGCACCCTGCGCTCCGGCGTGCCTCCCCCGCGAGGTGCGGAAACCCGCTCTCCTGGAGGTCTGGAACCGTTAGCCCGACGCCTCCCGGGAACCGGACCGAACCCGGCCCTGGGGAGAGGGGGCGATTGTAGACTCCGGCGGGGCTCAACCCAGATGTGCAACCCGACTTTGACGATGTCGAATTAGCCCGTGAACTCGCGTTACCTGGGCCTTCGGACCCGTCGCAGAACGTCTTCCCTACGGTCCTCCGGCTCCCGCAACGCCCCCTCACCTGAGGCAGCAGCTCTCCTCTCCTCGCAGCTGCCCGGGCGGCGCAAGCGCGCTCACGCGCGTGCACCGGGCCTGGGCGCCTAGGCGACTGGCCGGACCGAACCGCTCCGGAGACCAAGAACCGCTCCGCGCACCAGCGGCTGGACTCTGCGCCTCAGCTGCCAACCAGGCTGGAGCGCTGGCCCGGCCCCCCCGCAGTCTTCGGCTCCGTCCGTCGCCATTGGCCCGCGGCCCTAACCCAGACTCGTTCCCATTGGTTCGAAACTGTTCCCGCGGCTGTCCATCACTTCTTGTTTACCCTGTCTTCGGACAAATCCAACCAAGCCGCCCCACCAACTCCGGCCCCCATTGGTATACGGTAGGTCTTTCTCCACCCACCCAGGGGTCTGTTTTACATAATTTATGCACCGGGGGGCCATTGGCCAATCAGCACAAGCTTGTTTATATAATGAATGTAAGGACGTTTTTCATTCATAAAAAACGCGACCTGAGGGGGAAGCTTAGCTGAGTCAGTGAAGCACTTAAAGGGGCCGAGGCTGAGGGGAGCCGCTGTTGCTCCCCCCCCTCCCCACACCTCGCTGCTCTCTCCACTTCACCCTGAAACGGCTCTTTCCCCTTCCTCACTTGCCCCTGCTTCTCCCTCAGCCACGCCACGGGCCAGGATCGGGTCGCTTGGCGCCAGACGTTCGCAGCTGCAGCACCAAGCAAACTTATCATTTTAGAATTCAGGCGAGAGGAATTCGTCATCCCACAGAGAAACTCGCTGACCGACCCGGGCGTTCGGCCCACGGAAACAACAGAAAACGGAAACGGAGCCCTCTAATCTTAGTTACCTTTGAGAGAGGCCTTAATTTCTCTTCACCAGGTTTCCAGTGGAAAGAATCAGCAGTTATCTCCCTGGAAAATCGAAGCTCGCCCTGATTATAGTTCCCATTTTACACTGGCAAGGCCTAAGGCCCAGCCAGATCCCCTGCTTCCCTGTTTAACTGCAGCCTGCAATCAAACCCACTCCTCAGCAGTGCGTGCTGGCGAGACAAGGGGTCGCTGCTCAATGAAATTCTCTCTGCGGAGCCAGGGCCAGAGAACTTAGGAAACGTACATCCCTCTCAAAGCAGTGTGCTGAGTTAGACCTTCCTTCCCGGCTGCTTGTTTTCCCTTTAAGTGCTGAATGCAAGATGGTGTATTTGCGAATTAGCTCGCGCGCAGCTGGGAACGAGGAGACGCCAGCCCCCTTTGCCAAACGAGAGGACACTAACGACCATTGCTGAAATTCTTAACAGGGTGTTCCGGGGAAACAAGCAATCCCCCCTTTCCCCCCTCCCGTCCCCCCCCCCCACCAGTGCCCCTTTCTTCTCTACTCCTTCCCGTGAAGGTCTTAGAGTGGCTTTCTCCTCTAACCTAGGATGCTGGACTTGAGAGAGTTCTGCTCTCATCCCATGTGTCCTGCCACTCGTCTCCCTGGGTGTCAGAGTTGTGGAGAAAAAAAAAAGCCAAACATTAGGAGAGCCCCTAGCAAAGGGTAGCTAACCCTGGGGACTGCTTCATGCCTCCAGGTGGGGAATACAGACAGGGTGTATTTTTAGGGAGAAAAAAAAAAGGAAAGAAAAGAAATTAAATCAATCTGGACACCAGTGGTTCACACTTGTAATCCTAGCTACTAAGGAGGCTGAGGTCTGGGGAAATCAAGGTTCAAGCCCAGGTGGAGTAAGAATGTTTGCTAGATTCAATCTCTAAAATAATCAGGGAGAAAAAAAAAAAGCAAGACTGGAGGCATAGCTAAAGTGGTAGGGCACTAGCTAAGGAAGAAAAAGGCTCTGAGCTTGAACCCCAATAATGTACTCCAGTTGTAGATCAGACATTGGATGTTTAGCCCTTTGTTTCGGGAGTTACTAGGGATTGAACTCAGGGCCAAGTACATAGGAGGCACCCTGTACCCTTGAGGCAGGCCCTATCATTTTTATTTGTATTTTGTCTTTGAAGTGGGGTTTTTCTAGCCCTGTACAGGCTAGCCTGGCTTCCAGCTTGTGATCTTCCAGCCTCCAACTCTGGAGTAGCTGGGATTGCAGGTGATGCTTTGAACTTTGAACCAGCACTTCTTTGATATTTAATTTCCTAGTTAAGCACTATGCTTTCTACTCAAACTTTTCTGTATTTCTTTCCTTATTCCCCAGGCAGCACCAAGCAGTGTTTGGTGGCTGGAGATCTTATTCTAGTCCACTTGTGCCTTCAGGTTTTTGCTGAAATCTCACCTAGATGCAGGGCCCAGGTTAGCTTCCAAATCCTTCTTTCCTAGCTTTGTCTACTCCATCATCAGCTGTCCTTCTTCCCATATGTCACCCATAGCTTCTCCAACAGACCTTACTCTCTTTAAGTATCTCAGGTTTCAGTCCTCTTGATATATGTTATAGCCCATGGGCCAGTAGTCCTCGCCATGTGAGCCAGAGCAAACCAACCACACTTTAGAACTTTGGCTAGGGGAAAACACACACACACACACAAGCATGCACACACACACAGCCCATGTGTGGGATACCTAGCACATCACGAGAAAACAACATCTGAACCCATAGTCGTAGAGGACACAACTAGTTTAAGTCAGGTGTTGGTGGCTCACACCTGTAATCCTAGCAACTCAGGAGGCTGAGATTTGAGGATTGAAGTTCAAAACCAGGTTGGGCAGAAAAATCCAAGAAACTCTTATCTCTTATCTCCAGAAGTGGAGGTACAGCTCAAGTGGTTGAGTGTTAGCCCTGAGAAGGGAAAAAAACTAAGGGACAGTGCTCAGATTGTGAGTTCAAGCCTCAGTTCAGACACAAAACATACGAAAGAAAGAAAGTGAAAGAAAGAAAGTTCAGACACAAAACATACGAAAGAAAGAAAGAAAGAGGGAGAGAAAAAAAGATTCCAAGACACCAAGAAACAGACAATAAATCACGATAGTGTTAGGACATTGTTCCAACAAAACAATGCTGTAGTTGATAATGGGTCTCCCATTTCAGGAGGCATTTATGCAGTTTTTTGTTTTGTTTTGTTTGTAGGTCATGGGGCTTGAAACTCTGGGCCTGGGCCCTGTCTCTCAGCTCAAGGCAAGCGCTCTACCACTTGAGCTACAGTGCCACTTCCAGTTTTCTGGTGGTTTATTGGAGATAAGAGTCTCACAGACTTTCCTGCCCAGGCTGGCTTTGAACCTTGATTCTCAGTTCTCAGCCTTCGGAGTAGCTAGGCTTACAGGCATGAGCCACCAGCACCTAGACTCTGAAGATGGTTCCAACTTCCAATGTCTGTGATTCTGGAAAGTTGGAGCCAGGACGACCATAGTCACTTTGTCCCTTGAAAAACACTTCTGTATCTTTTGAATCCTAACTTCAAGTTCCTCCCTTGGTGTAACCACCTTGGCTCTAGTGCAGGAAGAGAGAAATGGTGCATAGTTGCCAAAGGGACCCAGGATTGGTTCCTTCTTATTAAATATTTACTAATGTCTTCTCTCCACAGCTCTTCCTTCCTATCTCATGACTACCTCTCATTCCCATTCCTGTCCCAAACTCCTCTTATCTGTGCCTCCATTAAGAGTTGAGGGTCAATGTTTAGACGTTCTTTGTGTAGTGTGTAGAGTCTTTCCTCCTGAGAGCAGTATTTACATAGGAGGTTTTGTAGAGCACGTGTTCTCATTATCATTCCTTCTGCAGGAGAGAAACAGAATCGGAAAAGAAAACAAAAAGTGGGAGCTGCCTCTCTGGAACATTCATCTAGTGTCAATGTAGCCTTTTGTCCTCAGGCAGGAGCAAAATTCAATCACAATAAGAGAAGTGGACCCTTGTTCTTTACAAAGAAGGAGAGTATAAAAGAAAAAAAGTGTCCTGCCCCAAGTACAGGATCTTGTTGTCTTTTAAGGAACTGCTCTTACAGTGTCCCCTAAAATGCTTTCAAAACAAGCCTGGAGCCCAGCCTTAGCCAAGTGGTAGTAAATGGTGCTGGGTCCTGATCTTGGCCCCTTGTACTGGACTCAACTCTTCTTAGAAATGCTAAGGTGTGTTTGGCCTTGTCTAGAGACTAGAGTTTGGGTACATAGCCCTTGTTTCTTTTCCATTTTTTTTGGAGGGTGGGGATTGAACCCAGCTTTGAGCACAGTAAGCATAGCTCTACTAGAACCATGCCCCAGCCATTAAAAAAAGAATCCGTGAACTTTGTCCAAGTCCAGCTTCCAACTCAAGATCCCCTTTCCTCTGTCTCCCACATAGCTGGGATTACAGGTATGAGCTGTGGAGCCTGGCTCTTATTCTAATATAATGTGGAAGAGGGACTTAGGACATGATCACAAAGGTACAGGTGTTTTTCGTATCTTCAGAGGAGAAAGAATTCAACCTTCCATACTAGAACTCAGAAATAAATGCCCTAAAAAAACAGAGGAGTGAAGAAAAGTCTTACACAAGACTTACACCAATTAATGTTTCTTTAAACAAATAGGGGCTGTGTTGCCTCTTGGGAATAGCCATAGCTGACAGTTCCAGGGAACTTAATAGGAGCTAGACTGGGCCAAATGTTTCAAGTGTATTAACACACTAAACCCCAGCAACAGTTCTCTGAGGTCTGGGTGGGGTGAGAGGGTGGGGGCCGCTATTATGATCACCTCCCTTTTGCCCAGATGAAGAGGTATAGACTAGAAAGGGCCACTAAATTGCTTCAGGTCACAGAGCTAACACAAAGAAAAGAGAAAGGTACAGACCAGGCTTCTCCCCAAGCCTGCAGAGGAGTCTCAGGCTGTGCTGACTTCTCTTTTCTTCTAGAAGCTGTGTGTGCTTCAGGACACAGCAACACCCAAGGAGCCAGGCTTTTGCTGTCTTAGCTCATTTAACTCTCCTAACACCCTGGAGGTGTCAGACCAGGAGACAAAGGGAGACACAGAGGTTTAGAAATTTGCTGCAGGTGATACAGCTAGAAAGAACTGGAGCCAGATCTGAATGCAGATCCTAAAACAGAGCCCTTGCTCCGCAGCACTGTGACATTTCCTGTTGTGGCAATCTCTCACTCTATCATCTTATCTTGTCTCATCTTGCCTTTGGGGCTCACTCTGGTTGTTTACTTGCTACTCCCAACACCAGTGTTTCCTGGGAACTTGCTCTACCAACTCCAGGCAG